TAGACGTCAAAACAAAGCTTGAGTTATTTCTTGTGTAATTTCAACAAGTTTTATTTAAATTAATGAATTTATTATAAAAACAGTAACCTGAAGATATTATGCTGATTAAACTAACGTTATTTTAAGGTCACTGAAATCAAATAAAAAATATTTTCCCCATAATATAAGTCAATACATGGGTAACGGAAAGGATCTAACAAATGATGAAAAACAGAAAACAATAAAAGAGGAAGAGAATGCCTGCATTAAATATAAAGAAGGTGATTCGCAGATATCACCGAACGTTTAAGTGGTCTGTTTAAAATAATAGAGTTGAGAACTAGAAACAAAAAAAAAGTTTTAAGAAATTGTCTCCTGGAGGAATTGTAAACTAAAGAGAATTATAGCGAAACAACTACTATTGACCAATTCTCAGATCTTTTCAATGAATTCTTTATGATTTACAAAATATTTCAAAGCGTCAAAATTGGGCCAAGAAATATATGCAAAATGACTTCTCTAAAATATTTTTCATTGACAAATCTTGACTGACTTTCGATTGACTTTATAGATAGACCAAAAGATGGATTGTGCCCGATACAGATGTAGATGTGCTTGTGGCTAAAAGAAGGCAGCAAGGTGATGGCAGTATGATGATATGAGCTAGAATTGCCAAGAAAAAAAACCCTTATTGACCCATTTAAAGTCGATGAAAGAGTTAAATTGAACAATTTCAACTATTTCATGGACAAGACGTTCTTTGAATCTTACAAATCCCATCCATGAAATGTGTATTTATGTATGACAATGTTCCTTCTCGTTTATGTAATGTCACCCGTAATTTTTTAGCTTAAAATGTTTAGAGGAGGTAAGATAAAGGTTATATTCTAAGCGTAGATTAGATGTAGCATAAGGCCGAAGGTATGGGACTCCCAGTTAGAATCGAACTCACTACTCGTAATTGTTCTAGCGAGATGGGCTTGCTAACCATTACAAGACATCGAGGTGTCTTAATATGATTTTCTAAGCGTATCTTAGATGTGGCACAAGGCCGAAAGTATGAGACACTCTTGAGAATCGAGACAAGCTAGCGCCACGTCGCAGTGTCCCAAAAGAGGGAAGATAATAGAATAGCAACCATCCAGTTCCAATCTGAAACAAGTCAAAATTATATAAAGGTTACAGAAAGGAAATGTATAAGAACTAATTAAAACCATCACATCAGAAATTGGGCCTGATAAAGTAAAAGAATTTAGCAAAATCAATGGATAATTGATCGATGGTTGTTATTGAGATGAAAGGTCAGTATATTAAGAACGTAAATTCTTCAAAGACTTATCATATATGTTTTTAATTTGTTCTATTATATGTGTTGATCAATTGATGATGATTTTATTTCCTTGTTAAAAGTGATTTTGAATTTTGGAATTTGGATTCGGCTCTTCGAGTCCTCAATCCGCTATCCACTACTCCACCATGCCTCCATACTGATCATTTCAAAATTCCAAATGAATCCACTAATAGAAAAAAAGTTTCTACCTTAGTTCTCGAGGTCGAAGTATTGATGCTGATGACATAGACCTTCATGTTTGTGATAAGAATTATCTTCCACTGAGTAGACTGCGAAGTCCAGTGACTGAACTCACAATTACTATGTCACCAACTTCACGACTATACGCTTTACTCCACAAGGCTATTTTCCAGTATATATTTAAACCTTACTTGCCTAATGATGAGTAATGCTTCTTGTCATGCGAGACTGCACTCACTAAATCTTTTGTTACAGCTGCTGCTGCTGCTGCTGTTGAAAACTTGCTGTCATTTTTCTTTCTTTTATAGCGGCTCACATATCGTATTTATTTCTATGGCAAATCTACTAAGGATGACATTCTAGCCTAGCATATGCACTGACGTCTAACTGTCCAGTGATTCTTTATTATCCGATATTTTCACTTGCCAGGGGTTGATGATGACTCTTTTCCCTTTATAAATGATCAGCTATGACTGATTTCATTGTCTATCCCTCTCAGTGTTACGTTTCTTAGTTCCCTAAGCCTTACTTTTAGAGGTCTGCATGTTTCAACTTTATATATTTTGCTAAAACTGACAGGAGTGAAATACACGCAATTCAAGGTCATGTTCTCCCCGGCCGTGTTAGGCTTGACTCGACAGAGATTTCTCCGTAGAGTAAAGGTGCTTCTGAATATGATTCTGAAGTTCTATGGACAACATATCTTCTGAAACTTTTCCGATGAACCCTTGACAGAAGGCAGGCAAACTTTGGCAACCTTCTGGTCCTCCTCCTTGACAAGAAAGAAGGTAGTGAATCTAAGAGGAGGAAACCTCCACTGCCTTGCGGCCATGCCCATTCATGGGAAAAGCTTCGTGGTAAACTCTGAGGAGAAATCCGAAGTCTTTGTTCTGGTAAGTCCTGTGACAAAGCGGCTGCCTAGCTGTATTGGACTCTAAACTTTCCCTTTCCAACTGCAGCTGCTATTATATTTGCAGAATGTTTTTTTTTTTATTCTGATATTTGATTTTGATTATTTCATGTTGGTATGTGCCTGTGTTGCTACTTATGATTTCTGTACGCACTAATCGAAAATGCATTAATACACATTAATCGAGGGGTTCCTGTATCTACACAGAACTAACATATTGTATTAACAAAAAAAAATGGCATTTATCGATATAATTCCGAAATCCTGGTGTCCAAAGAGAAAAGTCTTGAAATCGATACATTTCAGTTAGCTTAATGCTAAGTATGTCGTTAACTCGAACAGCCGACAGTCTTACTTTAGTAGGCTTATCTTAAAACACATCAAATGAAAACTGAAATTAAATTGGTCTCTGAAGACTCGTTTTTGACACAGTGTCAATAACACAGGTATATCAGCCATGAGGCAGGCTTAGGCTGGCAGTATTTATAAAGGGAAATTGCGGAAGTTAGATTTATATCGATAAGCGTTACTCTATCTTAAATTATTTCTCCTGAAGAGTCCATCAGCTCTGCGTCAAATATTAGTACTTGTATTTTTAAAATAATCATTATCTTCCAAAACATTATTAAGGCAATAATCTCTGGCAAGGACAGAATTATTTATAAAATCCAAAATACGTATCAGCTTTAACTAATATACAAATTAAGGAGCTGCCCCACGCTTGAGGCTTTTCAAATGCTGTTTTTCAAAGCAGGCACATTTCATTTGAAATAATGATATTAACACACCGTTTACTTCTTCTTTATGTGCTGTATCCTCTCAGAATGTGGGCGATTATGGCTCTCCCCAACTTCTAACAGCTCTTAATATATTTTTTTCTGTTATTTCATCTAAGCCCTGTTCCGCTATCCATTCACTCAAGTTAATTATGTTATGCATTGTTTTCCCCTGTTTCTCATGCCTTCTCTCTGCCTTGTGAGTATCATATTTTCTAAGCTCTCCTTCCTCATTACATACCATAGAAACCTTAACTGTCTCTTCTGGATGTTAAATATTACTTTTCTTTTCATTTCCATTTTCTCCAAAACCTTGTCGTTACTCACATGTTCGGTACACGGTATCCTGTTTATAAAATTCAAAATACGTATCGGCTTTAACTAATATACAAAGGTTTGATAATCCATAAAAAACAAATCGATCAATCTTGCACAGTCATATATGAACTAGCGTAGTACGCTACAACCGTAGAATTGCTATGGTGTTTTACTAAGCGTAGCTTAGATGTGTCACAATACCGCATGTTTGGAGCACACGATCGAAACTGATCAAACTGATCAAACCAAACTTGCTATTACACCACGTCGAATTGGCGAATTAATACCTGGTTGTCATATGCACAACGTTTCGGCCGATTTACCCCTTGGCATTCATCAGGAGTCTGTAGTGGCACTCAGAAGCTTCCTCGGAATTTTATACCAAACACTTTATTCGGTATAGGAGGCACGGTTGAGTAATGGATAGCGGCTCGGGTTGAGGAATCGGGGAACCGAATTCATCATCCAGCCGATTTCGAATTCCAACTGAGTTAGAATTCCAACCGAGTTCGTTCATTATCTCTTCCCCACAAGCTATGGGTAAATATCAGAACATATTGGGACCCAACGCCTTGGTTGACGACCACTCTATGAGAAGGAAAACTTTGAATTCAAACTAACCTAGATAGAGTTGAGATCCGTCAAACTGTTTTGGCCAGGATACACCACTGCTACTGCGGCTATTGTTCGCATGTCCACCCTGACACGGGATGGGAGCGCCTTATTAGGCTCCCAGCTATGGGCAAACAGTTAACCCCCACTGGGGCCAACACTCTATAAAAAGTATAAAAAAATATAGTAAAAATGCCAGCAATACATTTTTATAGTAAAAAATACCAGCAATACATTTTTATAGTAAAAAAGTATCCACAAATACGTTTTTGTAAAAGATTAAATGACCCATAAGGAGTTGATATGTGGCTAAACAAACAAACAATTCAAGATAGAATAAAAGCTGCGAAAGATTTTAAACTTTAAATCCACATCTTACTACATGCAAATTTCATAGAAAATGAATCATTTATATTTCGTTGTTTTAAATAGAATTTTGCATGTTGATATAACGTCAATAACGAACCAAAGTCAAAATGGCGAATTAAAATAAATACAATTATTACAGACATGTTAATCTTGTCGTTCTAAGCTAATTTACCCCAATATTCAAAGAGCAGATGGGTATCCAGACAGATACACCATCTTCCTGTCTATCACCAGGCCTGACGTTCGTGAATTGATTTTGTATCTTTTTTTTTCTGTGTCTACTTCTTCCAGGAATGAAGTCAGATTGCCTCTCTGAATCACAGTATGAAGGAATTAAACCTTAAGCAGATTAATTCAACCTGATATTACAGTATCAATGGATACTTTTAATATAATCCGATAATAGGCAGGTCTATATGCGTGGTCATTTCATTAATCTCTATCAAATAATAAATTAAAAAGAAAAAAATCTCGTTTGGAATAGAATTAAATAATTTTTGCTGACACGGCACAGTAAAAAGATTGGACACTTGGTTGACTGCCTTAAGGCACTGGTCAGCAAGCGCTTCGACAGATATCTGACAAGCGTTGTGAATGGAATTTTCATTAGGCTCGCCAATAAATTAGCCTTGTATCACAGTAACTTAAAATTGTTAACGAACATTAATTCATACAATATGAAATCTGATACACGATTTAATATGACAGACATTTAGGGTAGCTGGCGCCGAAAGATGTTTAATAAGCGGATCACGATCGGCCTCCTTCTACCATAATATATCCTAACGATCAAGCCTAGAAAGCACAAACATTTCCTATGGATTTGGGTATAAGTGACCGTTATTTACTTATAGTCAAGTATAAACACGACCTGTGTTTACGTATACTGAGGTATCAGTTAGTCTCGAGAGACCATGGATCTGTACCCCCAAAAGTTATGCCTCAGCTGTTGATGACAGCGAAGCATCTGTCTTGGCTGTCAAGGCCCACACGGGAGTGGTAGTCTCGATTGCAACGAATGCATTTGAAGTCACTCTCTCTTTATCTCGCCCTTTTTTTCTTTCCTTTGAGCACGCTACTCCCTGGCAGCAAGTCGTCCTTTCTTCTCTCCTCGCTCCGTCGCTGTAAATCGCGTCTCCAGCGTGAGAAAATCATTAGAGACGTCTTCCCACCTATCTATTGTCCTGGCAGACATCTTTGAAGCGAAGATCGCCTTCGTGCCCTGTTGCCGGTGGCCAGTTTCCTGTACAAAAGAACCTTTACAATCCTCCGATCAATAGACTGTTGATTTATATGTTTTGACGTCACTGTGAGTCGACTCTGGAGTGTCCACTCCAGGGTGAAGGCCTGGGCAGGGTTTTATGGGAGTTGCCCATGCAGCACGTTTCTCCTCACCACGTCACTGATGTTGTCCAAGGGAAAAGTTTATAGTCCAATACAGCTTGGCAGCCACGTTGTCACAGGACTTACCAGAACAAAGACTTCGGATTTCTCCTCACAGTTTACCCCGAAGATTTTCCCATGAATGGGCATGACCGCAAGGCAGTGGTGGTTTCCTCCTCTTAGATTCACTACCTTCCTAGGCTGACGAGTTACATCTAGACTCTGGGAAAAAAACTATATGATCACGTATATACACAGCTAATGCTTACCTATAGACATGTATAAATAAGTCAAATAATTATATACAACCTCAAATATAAACACGATCCATGTATAAAAATATACTCAACTGTAAATACCGCGCATGGTTTCTATAGTCGGAAGTATGTGACAAACTTACCTATAGACTCTTACCTCTACACTTACCTGATGCAGGGCTCTGACCCTGTGCGGGTAGTAACACGGCTACGACTAGCTCGGGTCTGGACCAGCTATGACAAGCCAAGACCAGCTATGACTAGCTTAGACCAGCTCTGACCAGCTTGGACAAGCTATGACCAGCTAAGACCAGCTTAGACCAGCGGACCGAATGAAAACTCTCGGATCCACACGTTAAAAACTGACCTTGTGTCACAACCTGACTCAGTGGGGGGGTGTCCAGCAAATATCTACAGACTCAATTATTATCTACAGACTAGAAATGAAAAGTAACGAAAAAATATTTCAATATTAATGAACCCAACAAGGATTGATATGTGATAAGATACTTCATCTAAACTTAATTCCAGAGGGATATATTTTTTCTAAGCCCTCACTTTTGATGACCCTATACCAGGTAAAGATAAATTTAGTAAATAGCAATATATATGGTGCTAAACATAGGGCGATAATAAACAAATTATTCTCTTCAGATGCCTCCACTAATTTAACAATTTTATCATTAAGAAGCTGCTCCACGCCTGTGACCTTTCAAATGCTGATTTTCAAAGCAGGCACATTTCATTTGAAATATTGATATTAACACACCGTTTACTTCTTCTTTATGTGCTGTATCCACTCAGAATGTGGGCGATTATGGCTCTCCCCAACTTCTAACAGATCTTAATATATTTTTTCTGTTACTTCATCCAAGCCATGTTCCCCCATCCATTCACTCAAGCTAATTATGTTATGCATTGTTTTCCCCTATCTCTCATGCCTTCTCTCTGCCTTGTGAGTATCAGATTTTCCAAGCTCCCCTTCCTCATTACATGCCCTAGAAACCTCAACTGTCTCTTCTAGATGTTAAATATTAGTTTCCTTTTTATTTCCATTTTCTCCAAAACCTTGTCGTTACTCACGTGTTCGGTACACGGTATACTCAGCATCCTTCTGTAGAACCACATTTCTATTGCTTCAAGTCATCTTTCAGGAGATCGTCCAACATTCAGTGCCATAGAGAAGGACAGATATCACATAGGATTTTAGTTCTCGTTCCCTTGTTTCTAACGAAATGTTTCTATTTCATAGTACTATGCTTAGCTTTTGGAATGCTTCCTTGGCTATCGCAATACGCCTTCAAGATCTCAGTGTCGCTCTTTCTGTCCTCTCTTAAAAAACTTAATAAATCCATTTCCTGGCTTAGCTGAAGCTTCCGTCCATCCATAATGTTGTATAAGAGTAAGTGTCGTTGCCGGCACTGTGCTTTGAAACTAGATCGCCAGTGAGCAAGACGAGCGATTCCATTATTAAGTAGATCACGTGTTCAGAAAGGAAGTGAATAAATACGAAGTAGCGTGATGACTAAGCGATCATTATTTATCCTTTATCGCTATACGGATTATTGTTCACTCTTCTTGTCTATCCACTACTGTTATACGTTCACTCTCTCTACTCTACTACTCTACGTATTAGGATTCTCTTCTGATCATTATACTATTTGGCAATTACTACTTGAACAAGTATTACTGGTGCCGATATTATTGGAAGGCGTTAACGTAGTACTGGCGTCTACGAAGTCTCGAATATAACGAGCATTTTGAAAGTGATAACGAGCTTTCTTTTGATATAACAAAAGTGACAAGCGAAGTCGTCCAACATCACAAAATATAGCTATAAAGAATTATAAGTATACATATAGTTCAGCCTGGAGAGGGTTGGCTTCAGGCAGGTTATCTTGCCCGAAACACACCTCTTCTGCTACGGTTGCGATACATATGCCTATAACGACCCGCATGGGTCACGTGATCGTAATCATGATCGGGATTGCATTCATGAGATATAGTTGCTCGGGGAATCGTCCCTCAGACAAGACGCCAACGCTGGAATAAGAGGATAGTGATAAAGGTATAGCCCGATGGTTGCAACAAAGGCCGGTGGGATTAGATCGTTTTTGGACACAGCGGAAAGGAAACGGTTATGGTTAATACAAACCTTGTATAATGGCTGCTCTCGCAGACAGGCGAAAAAACAGTTTTAGTAAGTTTAGTTTTTTATTTTCATTTCTGTCATTATATATCGGTCGTCACATAAAGACTTGCAATATCTGCTTTCTACGACACTGAGATTTTTTTTGCCTGTAGATTTTTCATTATAAATCGGTTGGCACATAAAGACCTGTAATATTTGCTTTCAAATACACTAATTTTTTGTCTGTAGATCTTTCATTATATACCGGTTGTCACATAAAAACCTGCAATATTTGCTTTCTACTACCCTAAGAATCGTAAATGCTTCATTGTTATCGCTTTGGGAAAACGAGCCAAGCACACCGCACCACCGGGAAGACCATGTCACTTTCGAGTATAATTAGTAGAGTGAAGCTGTTCGGAACCTGCCAATGGATCTCCGAGGAGGAATTCTAATCATCATGGCCGAGTGTTTCAGCGTCCTGACCATGTTCAACGACTGATCCCGCCTGATTATGCGATCTCCTCCAGAAGCTGTAAGTACGATCTGCATAAATCAAGGTTTGTCTCTGTGGATGTTGAACAGACGCAAATGTGACTGAGCATGCACCTACAACAAGGATGCAAACTACTATATAATATTATTGGAAAATTATTGGATATGAACAAAAAAAGAAAATTAGCACAGCAATTTAAGGTAAATTTCCATCATTTTCGTTTCTTTTTTTTTGTCATTTCCTCAATGCTCCTTGTTCTCAGTCTTCTCATTATTTTTCACTTTCACTAGCTGTAACCGCCTGCGTCTTAGTGGCATTGTCGCCTTGCTTGGGGTGAAACGATTAAAAAAATCTCTCATTTCGTTCTCGCTCTTAACATTGAAGATGCAAATTAAAATTTGTTTGATTTATTTATTTTTGAATGAATAAATTTGGGGAAATTCTTGTAATAAATTATTCATAATTTTGGATAAATATTTATTTTTGATTCTGCGCCTCTAAGCTGAAGGGTTAGTTGTTGTATTTTTATTATTATTTTTTCGTATTTGTGATGTTATAAAATGTTCTCCTTCATTAATGGTCGAATTGTGCATCGTTCATTTTGAATTGTCGATGAATTGTGCCTGCAGAATAAAGCGAGTGCCTCTTTGAAGTTAAGAAAGTCATTATTTTATTTTTTTTATTTTTACTTCTTTTCATTTTATTTTATTCTATTTATTGATTTTGCTTTATCTTTAACATAAAAGAAACGATTTCTGTGTTAGATTTTTAATAACAATATGGAAATATCGAAACAAAGAAATTTAAATTGCTTCTACTGCTTCGGAAAGTTTGAGGTTCTGAAATTGTGAAATATGCATTGTAAATGATATATTGACGCCTGAATTACCATCGTCCTAATCTGTGTTGTTTTAATCACAACACTTCGGCCGTTTTAGCCCTCTGGCCTTCTTCAGATTTTTGTCGATCAAGTAATTTCGAACTGAAACTTTATGCCAACAGCCAAGAGATTTAAAACGTCGGTTTGTAAGTTAGCATAGTAATTGTGAGTTCAATTCCAGAATTGTGAAATACAAACTCAGCCTGAGCGGAATAAGGGCGAGTAATAACTGAGCAGCAATAAATAAAGAACAAGTCGAGATATCCCTAGACATGGGCAACAGAATGCGAACAATCTTCCTCGTAGATACTGTTTTTTTATCGTATAAGTGACATGAGTAGAACAGTTTCTGAAAGCTTAACAACACCGGAAATGCGTATAGTTAGTCCCCGGGTTACGAATGTCCCAACATGGTTACGACACAGTCTTCATTAATCTTGTTTCGACTCATGACGTTTGC